GAGGGATGATGATGTAAGTAGTAGAACACCAAACTACTGCGCCCTTCTTGCACATATGAAGGCAGTTACATAGTTTGTTTTACTAAAATTTACCATTTGTTCAATCTAGACTTATTTTTGAAAGTTGAAAAATGAGTTAAAAATCAATGTTTGTTAAAACCAAATGATTCCTCAATTATGTATTTTAACAATAATTACACCAAAAAGTTGTTTATGCACATCTAGGTACTCAATTACTTATTCAAAAAATACTTAGTGAACACATGCCACAAGTTATAAGCGATATTTTCGGCACCAGAAAAATAGCATTGAAGCACAACAAATCCTTGTCTTTCAGGAGCACACATTCTAGTGGATTCCATAAACACAAGAGAGTTGTTATTAATTTTAAAATATAATCTCTCTTTTTCTCTCTCCTTCAAAGTAAAACTGTCAGGAAAAGTTATATTTTTTACTTTAAAGAAAAAAATTGTGTTGTAGAATTCAATCATATAAATGATGCTGTGTTTGGTAGAGATTTTAAAATGGTATTAAAGCAAGACAATTTTGTGATTGCCATTTCAGGTGTGATATTTTATAATATTTAATTTTTGCCATAAAATAGGTTTGTGATCTGTATGTTATAACCTAGCAGGATTCATTCCATTCTATGACTTTGTCACAGCAAGGTATTAAAAACAAACATGCAAAACCAAAATAGGCAAAACTAAAGGAATACAAACAACCCACAATCGGATAACTAAAATAATGATGTGTCTTGAGGGGAAGATAGGAATAAAAGACAGAAATAAACAAGTGTAGAATGTGAAAAGCATATGTTAAGTTCCCTATGAAGGCAAAAGTAACAGCTTTCACAGCCATGTATTTTGATACACTATAAAGTAACTTTTTTTCTCATAGAACACTAGACATTCCATAAATAATTAAAATTTTCTCCTTTGGAACATAATACAATGTAATTTAAAAATTAACAGTAAAGATTTCTGTTCCCTCATAGTCTGTACCCCTCCCCCCATCCATCATCTCTCACAATGTCTTTGTCTTAACTTGGCAACATTTTCTGTTTACCAATTCGCAACCATCATTTACCCTTCCTGTTTTTACCATAAATTGTTTGTTATTTATGAAAACTGCATCAATACAAATAGAATTTTCTCTTTTGATTCTGAGACACATTTACTACATAAAACAGTTCATGTGGTAATTGCTTGCCTTTAAAATCAATTCACAGGAAATGCATGAGAGATCTACTGTGTGCAAGAATCTTGCTGAGGAATGGTGAGATTAGGCAGTGTGATGGACACAGGAGGCATAAATGCATCAAACATGATTGATCCCTTCTCCTTCTGTGAGAATGGACCATGTGCCTTTGTTTAGCTTACTCCCTCGTACTGGAAGGCCATTCTTCTCTTCTGTATCCACTGGAATCTATACATCCATCAGTTCCTCCTTCTCTATAAAACACTTTCCACAGCATCATAAACAAAGTCCGTCACCCACCTATACTGTACTCAAGAGGTCACATCACGACTAGATAGCATTAACCATTTCATTTTATTATTGCTTTTATGTTTAAATATTTTCATTACATCTTCGCTGTGATAGTCTGTGTAAATTAAGTAAGATGAAATAATGTTAAAAGTTTAGGAATTTACCCGCTGTAGCCACATTTCATTTGTTCAGTAGCCACATGTAGCTCTTGACTACTGTGCTTGACAGCATGGATTTAGATCAGTGCCACTATTATAGAAATTTTTATAGGACAGTGCTTCAATTCTTGAGGGCAGGGGCCATGTATTTTAAGATTAAAAATGATAAGGTAGTAAATGTGAAAGGGGCAGGATTATTGGGCAGATAAATGCAGAGATTTGTGTCACTTTAAAATGGACTCTTCCATTTAGGGAAGATTGCATTAAACTCTAAAGAAGGGCATGTATGTTCTGTCTGCTGAAATAAATAAAGGTACTGGGGACTCAAAATAGCCATAAAACTACATCTAACATTTACCTCGAATTTTAACAAAAGTGATTAGAATGAAGAAAACAGATTAAGCAGCTAATGTCTGATGTTATCCATTAGTCAAAATATATATACTGTTGATTCATATTCTTATTCAAAAGTCTTCAAGAGAAATTATTGTAATGGGCTTGAAATATAACTTTAAGAAACATTATGTTTAGGAGCACATTGTAAGAATTCTGGGAAAATCTGCACTTAGCACCAAAGAAATGGGAACCTTATTTTTATCAGAATAATGAAAAAGTACTTAGTGCATCCAATGGAGCTTGAAAAATAGCACAAAATTATTGGTAGAAATATACTGTCATCTTTTCTAAACCCATAAACACAGCCACAATTTTGCTCACGCCAGTTTTCGATTTATGAATAATTTTCATAAAGTAAAATGGTTATCCTGCAAGCAGAGTGGGCCTAGCATGGGGAAAGGAGAGGGGACTTTGCAGTCAGACCACCTGGGCCTTCCATCCCAGCCCCACCCAAGGCAGTGTTGCTTTGGACAGATGACTTAACCGCTTTGAATCTGTTCTTTTATGATAGAATGGGAGTTACTGATCTTTATCACAGAAACTTGATAGAAGTTTATGGAAATGGTTTTGAAACAATAAACACATGAATGGCATGCCCACACTTTTCCTTTCAATACTGAGTTCAAAACCTGCCAGTGTCTTCCTAGTGAATCTTTTGGTGTCATCACTACCTAATTATAGTACAGTTACCTGAGATTTCATAATTGATTTTTTTGATTAATGATATTTTTAATCATTGTCTTTAGATTGACCCTCTTTTATTCATGTTTCTGTCTCAGCAGGAATTAACTAAGATTAAGTAAGAGAATTTTAATGGGTTTTTAAGATGGAGATAGCCTGTGATATTTAGCTTGAAATGTAGCTGAAAATAGCATAAAACTCTCAAAGGAAACTTTAGGATGTCATGTGCCAATAACAGACACCATTTATTTGCCTAGGCTGGCCTGAAGAGGTGTAATGAACCATAACAATGTCACCATTCTAAAGACTTACACACTGAAGGGTATGTCCATTCAAACATTGTTAGACTTAGGAGAAGGCATAGGTGACATTCCTTTGCCTGTGGTTAAGATCCTAAAGTATGGGTAGCCTAACACACACACACACACACACACACACACACACACACACACACACACACACACACACACTATTTCCAGGCTTTTGCTCATTTTTAATTCCTTGGGAGACATGTAACATTACACACACAGTTGTGTAACCCTAGAGTGTTATTTAATTTTTTAAAAATAGTTTCTTAATTTGAAAAATAAGAATAATAATTATTTATTTTTCAAGGATACTGTGAAATGTAATCTTGATTCTGTGTGGCATCTGTCATCTATTACTAATCTTATTAAAACTGTATTGCAGTGCTTATCTATGGTCTGACTTACATTCAGCTTCTCTCAAGGTATTGTGAGACTAACTTCTTCTTCTGGCAGGTTCAGGACTAAAAATGACTTCATCTTGGATGCTAGTATAGCCTGAAATAGTGCTATGTATCCTATGCCAATCTTTGTTCAACTTGTGGCCACCAGAGTAAATGCTTGAGGCTTTTTACCAATTTAGTTGGACCATAGAAACAACAAATTTTGGTAAATTATTAAAACTGAATCGAATGAATGGGTTGTCAAAGTAGTGTCTGAGCAATTGTGTTTTGTGAATAGAACCCTGTGAGTGATTAGTGACAAAAATTGACTCATAGTTATACAATATCTATGAAATACCTCCTTATTTAAAATGTGCATCTATATAAGGTGTATATGGATGTCATATAATGAAGCCCACCACTTCGATGTCCCCTGACATATATTGAATGATCCCCAGTAATCTCCTGGTGACTAATTTTAAGGTACAAAATAAAATGAAGAGAGAAAGGGAGTTGGACACAAGCAAAGGGAAAAGAGTTGGGTGTTCAGGCTGGAGAGATGGCAAGTGCCACCAAGTCTTCCCTGGCTATTGACTCCCAACTTTCATGTATTGATCTCTTGGTTTAATTATTTATAGTTTCTTTAAAAAGTATTATCTTTATAAAATCATATCTGTGACACACTTAAAGCTTTGCTTTTTATGAGCAAAATCAATTGTTTGGGAATATAAAGGGCAATTTAAAAATAATACATTCTTAGCTAACTAGGAAAGACTGAATTGGAAAGAAGTAAATTTCTAGTGTCCTTTAAAATAAAGTGCACTACAAAATTTTCAGTGATTTTTCAAATTTGTATTCATGACTTGTTTATGCAGCAGTGATCTCGTTGACACAGTCTGTCATTTGTGGACTAACCCCAACTTAGGTCTTACTTAACCACTTTTTGATAAGAACTACAAAACAGAGAGCTTAGGATATCCTAAAAATAAGAAACTGAGAATAATGTTTTAAGATTTTAGGTTCTCCTGGTTGACTCATTATTTTGTGCTTTTTATGTGATTGTGTTTAAGGAGAGCTTTAACAGCAGAGTTAGGGTATAAATTGTTTTCAGAACATTGGAAAAACAGGCTTCAGTTCGTGTTATTTTCATTGAACATTTCCCTGTAAGTCAACAAGGCCTGTTTTATTCAGTCTTAGCCAAATCAAATATGATCACTGTAGTTTTCTTTATGTTTGAAGATACAGCACGATAGTCATCATTACAGTGTTTATTGCAGTGATAATTTGTGTGTGATTACTGCCTCTAACTGACTTGCAATAAAAGCTGTAAAATTAAAAAAATAGTTGGAAAGATTACACGTGTTCTTCCCTATCATATTTGCAGTGTTTGTGTGGAGGAACAAAATTTTGTTGTCTATTCCGTTAGTAAAGAATGTATTAAAATTGTAAGATATTTCAGAGGAACACCTTTCAGATAATGCTGTGTAAAAGTATAAAATCAGCAAGAAAAAAGATGATTTTTCCTTTACCATGTCCCCTGATCTTAATCTTTTCCATTTCCCTGTTTGTTTCTAATTTAATTTTAGAGGGCTGTTGAAGTACCAGACTAATTTAGATACCCACCCTCCCGGCTGCATCAGTCTTAATCGAACCCGCTATCGGGGCGTTTCCTTACTGGACTCTTTCTCAGAACATTTTCATGAACCTTTACCTGGACGATTCTCAAAACCAGATGAGCTTAAAAGGAGCACATTTGTGAAGATTTGCATAGAGGAGCCCAGGTTCCAAGCTAATTTTCCACAGGTCAGATTAATTGTGTGTTCAAGCTCTGCAAAGTCTATGATTCATACGGTTGATCAGCAACACATTAAAACATATCTTTAGGCTCTGTGTTGATGAATTATAGGATGTTTTAGAATATTTGGATACTCAGTCTATACTTGTTATTCCATAATAGGCAACTGACAGTTGAAGGCAAAGACCTATGATATTTGAGAATATAGAATATTTTTAACTAATTATACGGTCTTTGTGTACTATGGTACTCGTGCTTGCTATCAGAGAGAGAGACATTTTTCCAATCCCTGGAGAAAAGCAGTTTGAATAATAAAAGGGACCTGTTCCTCTGCGGCTGTAGGGAATGCCCACCAGTATATCATGCCCTGTATTCTGTGTACACCATGTGAAGGTAGAGAACGATGATGTCAAATTCTGCTTCAATAAAAGAAGTCAAAGGCTACAATAAAATTTTTGATGACTTTACTAAGTACACTAATTTTGTGTTTGTTATTAATAAAATTCTCTAGATAGCTATTAGGTTTTACTGTTTTCAATATTTATCTTAGTTTCATGTAAAGCTGAGTATTAGAAAAGGCAGGTTTTAGCCCCATTTTGTTTATTTGGAATCTGATGTTCAAAGGGTGACTGTCCCAAGGTTGCAAGGATGCTATAGAGTCAGGTTTAGTGTCACTACTCAGAAGAGTTGTGCTGTCTTCATGGAAGAAGGGAGATCTGGAGCTGTGTAAATAAGATTTAAAAAGTGAGCATTAGTACAGGGTTTGGTTGGAGGCCCTCAATATGGTGAGAATGTATACTGTACAGTTGTGGAAGAAAGGTTGGTCCCACGGACTTCTCTGCTTCCCTGTTCAGTTTTCACAGTGTTTACATAAATACTGTGTTCTGTTCAAAATAGTTCTGAAAAACATGCCTAGCACATCCAATTTAAAAAACATGCACTGTGAAAAACATGCCTAGCACATCCAATTTAAAAATATGTATACATACATATTTACCATGTGCATATGTTGTATGTATTTTATATGAACATACTATGTGCATTAAATATCTAGAGAATTATTTTTAATAAATTTTGGACTGGTACTAGTTTTCCTAAAATAATCCTCAGATTAATATCAGGTTTAGCTTGCTTTTATTTTATTTTAGAGAAAGATATGTATCCACATTATGTATTTGAAGTCACACATCAAAGATGCATAAAAGAATGAATGCTTACCTATAAATGGTTGTTACAGTTGGGGCATAGGTCTGTGGTTGAGTGTCAGCATTACTTTCTCTTTCATATTTGAGTTTTACTTGAATGAATCATAGTGAGCATCTATCATGTTTTATACATTTTTACCTTTGTTTATTTAAAATGTAAATGAGAGTATTGTTACTGAAATGTAAATAAGAAGAATACAGATTCCTACAGTACAGGTATTTCTTCAAGTGTGTTTTCAAAATATCTCCCTCAGACATGGCTCTGGATTTCTGGACCCTTGTGCCTGTACTGTGCTGAAAGACTCTATAGGTGCATTCGCAGCAATAAGCCAGTCACCATCATCGCTGTCATCAGTCATCCTTCAGATGTCGTGGAGATCCAAATGGTCAAAGAAAATTTTAAAGCAAGACCTGGCCAGGTGAATTAGTGGTTAGCAACTTTTAAAATACCATGTGTTCTTATGTAATTTTTGAAAATCAGTAGTCATAGAATCACTGGAATGGTTGAACATTTTTGGTCATTTAAAATCATCTGTTTTTTGCTTTTTAGTATATTATTCTACATTGTCCCAGTGTATCTGCCTTAGAAAACCATCCATTTACCCTCACAATGGTAAGACGCTTGTTTCTTAAATTTTAAAATCCATTTGTGTGTGTCCTGTTTCATTCTAAAATTTACTGAGAGTGCTAACAATTTCCCTAATGTTCAAGCCAGTCATCTTTTATACAATGTAGCATACTTACCTGTTCAGAACCTTTGTAACTATTTTATATTATTTTCTGACAATTTATATTTTTGAAATGTATTTAAAATTTTATTAAAGCTTGTGATTCAAAACAAAGAATATCTTAAATATCTTCACTTTTCCATGTGGGAATATAAATGGAAATTTAATATGTGCAGTTTTCTTTGGAGAGATAGAATTAGAGGAAAAGAGCATTCTCTGGGGTGAGATGGAAGCATTAGAAAAGCTAGGCTGTGTTTAGAACAGTTGAATCTAGTGTAATTGGCGCTCAGGCTTTGTACAGGGAAAACCAAGCTGGTAAAGCAAAATGGGATAAATAATTGGGATGAGCAGCACCAAGTATGTTTAGTCTAATCACATATTTAGCATTTTAACATAAAAGTAATATAAACCTGTGTAAATTTTTTTTTTTTGATTTTTGACATAGGGTCTTCCTATATAGCCCAGATTGGACTTGAACTTGTGATCTTCCTACCTTTGCCTCCTGAGTGCTGGGATTGCAAGCATTCATTGCCGTGCTAGGCTTAAATTTCAAATAATTCACAAAAATAGATTAAATAGAAACTTTTCTTGTTTTTTTTTTTCATTTTTCTAATCCTTTTCTCCAGAATTTGACATATATTCCTTCAGATTTTTCCTGTCTACATTAACACACACACACACACACACACGCATATGTATATGTGTCTGACATTTGTTTGCTGGATCATGTTGTTTTATTTGTATATGTTTATATGTATATAGAAGTGTATAAATATGTGTATGTACTGTGCTGGGGTTTGAACTCCACACCTTGCTCTTGGTAGGCAGGTGCTCTGTCACTTGAGCCTTATTCATATACTTTATTCTTTTTAATGTCTGCATAATGTTTTATAGTAGAAAATACTCCAATTTCTTTGATTTTCACATTAATGATGGCTAATTTAGGTTTTATTCCTTTTCTAACAAAGATCAGTAAGAATAGGGACCACATTATTAAATGTATGCATAAGAAAATAGAATTGGGTAAGTTAGGAAGATAGGGGCAGAAAAACTAACCAATGTCCAATAACCAGTGACCAATTTGGTGTGAAATTTTATTCAAAATGGGGTCACTTTCAGAGTGGATATGGCAATCAAGTTGGAAATTCTAAAACTCTGGGTAAGTAATTTCACCTTCTTGTGCATTCGATATTCAGTGTATTCTTGGAATAAAAATTACCTAATCCTACACTTGGTAAGTGAACTACTGAAAGTATGGCATGCAAAAACATGTCTAGAACACAGATAGCATCCGCTGTATCAAGGTGTTAACAAGTATTGTGATTTTTATTTTCAGTGTGAGTTTGTGCCTTGAGAACATGTGCTTATGAAGAAGCCAGGTTAACATATTTAATTGATAGAAGAAACAGGAAGTGTGTCAAGTGGTTAGAGTAAAACTAGAAGTTATTCATTCTAAGGGTTTCTTTAAAAGAAAAAAAACTCGTTTTGCTTTATTTACTTCAAATTTTGTATTGTTTATATGTAAGAAATTTACTTCTTTTTATTTTTCCACATTTTTATTAGAGCTTATTAATTGTAGAATGTGGAGGGTTTCATTATGCTATTTCTGTAGTGCATATGATATTCTTTGATCATATCATTCTATTTTTGTGTTCCCACTCCTCCTTTTTAATCTTCCTACAGTTTTTAAATGGGCTTGATTATGATTTTTTCATATATGTATACAATGCACGTCAGTTCTATTCTACACCCTCTTCCCTCTCTTTCCTCCCTCCTACTGGTTCCCCACCAACATATTGTTGGGTTTATTTTTTTTGTTTATTTATTTGTTTACTATTTTTGTACTGGGAGTACATTGTGACATTTACCAGAGTTCTTATATATATCCTAGTTGAATTCACCCCCTTCATCATTCTTTTTCCCCCTCAACCCCCATTCCTAGAACAGTTTCAACAGATCTCATTTTTCCATTTTCATACGTGAGTACGTAATATTTCCATCACACTCATCCTCCTACTCCTACACCCTTTCCTTATATCCTCCCCACTCCTACTGGTACCTATCCCTAGACAAGACTGTTTTATCTCCCTGTTCTCCATTTTTGAAAAAAGGTGTTTTTGTTTGTTTAAGAGATAGTTCTACTGGGAGTTTCCTTGTGACATTTCCATGTTATATGTATGATAACTCCAATTGGTTCATGCCCTTTATTTTTCTCCTTTTTACCTTAGTTCCCTTCTTATGGGGATTTCAACAGGTTTAAAAATTCTGTGTTCATTATTATATAGAAAATACATCATCCATATTCACCTCCACCTTCTTTCTTCTACCCTCTCTCTCCCTTTAGTGACCTACCCTTGCTGTAAACTCTTTTTCATAATATTGCTTATATTTGTATTGTGCGTATCTCCCACATAGGAGAGAAAACGTGGCCTTTGTCTTTCTGAGCCTGGCTTACATCACTTAACATGCTATCCTCCAATTGCATTCATTTAACTTCAAATCATGTGTTTTCATTCTTCCTTATGGCTGAATATAACTCCGTTGTATGTATGTATGTATGTATGTATGTATGTATGTGTATATATGTGTGTGTGTATGTATGTATGTATATGGAGATAGATAGATAGATAGATCACATTTTCTTCATTCATCAGTTGTAAGGCATCTGGTTGTTCCATAGCTTGGCTATTGTGAACAGTGCTGCAGTAAACATCGATGTGCAAGGGTCTTTTTTGTATCTGGACTTACATTCCTTTGGGTATATTCCTAGCAGTGGAATTGTTAGGGCATAATGTCAGTTCTATTTTAAGTTTTCTAAGGAGCCACCATAATATTTTTCATCCCGTTTGTACTAATTTACATTCCCACCAGCAGTATATGGAGGTTCCTTTTTCCCCACATCCTTGCCAACATTTGTTGTTTGTGTTCTTGATGATAGATAGCCATTCTAACAGGAGTGAGGTAGGATCTTCATGTGGTTTTATTTATGTTTCCTTTATGGCCAGGGATGTTGAGCATTTCTTTATGTGTTTTTTCTGGCCATTTATACTTACTCCTTTGAAAAAGCTCTGTTCAGTTTATTTGCCTTCCCAAATATCAAGAAAGAGATGTGCATCCAGGAAGCCTCCAGGATACCAAACAGACATAGCCAAAATAGAACTTCTCCATGACATATTATAATTTGAACAATTAGCATAGAGAACAAGGAAAGACTATTGAAGCCTGTAAGAGATAAAAATCAAATAACATATAAAGGTAAATCCATTAAAATAATAGATTTCTCAACAGAAACCTTAAAAGCAAGAAGGGCATGGAGTGAGGTATTTCGAGCACTGAAAGAAAATAATTTCAACTCTAGAATACTAGAAAAGCTATCATTCAAAATTGAAGGAGAGCTAAAAACCTTCCTTGATAAACAAAAATGAAAACAATACATGACCACCAAACCAGCACTCCAGAAAATCCTCAAAGGAATCTTACACAAGAGTAGCATAGAATTAATTGCATACACAGAAACCCTCACAAAACAAAAGCAAATAAACGACGGGAATCTCACATACCTCTCAATATTAACACAATAATGGCCTCAAGTCTCCCATCAAAAGACATCAGTTGGCAAAATGGATTAAAAAGGAAGGCCTAACAACTTGTTGTTTACAAGAAATCCACCTTACAGACAGAAATAAACACTGACTTGGGGGTGCAAGGTTGGAAAGATATTTATCAAGCTAATGGTCCCTGAAAACAGGCAAGGGTAGCAATACTTATATCAGATAAAGTGGACTTCAAACCTAAATTAGTTAGAAGAGACAAAGAAGCTCACTTCATACTAATAAAAGGAGCAGTACATTAAGAGGAAATACCAATTGTTAATTTATATGTGCCCAGTGTTGGTGTAACCAACTTCAAACATACACTATTGGACTTAAAAACTCAGATAACCCCAACACAGTGATAGTGGGAGACTTCAGTTTTCCTCACCAATAGATACATCATCCAGATAAGAAATCAACTTTAGAATTGAATGACAATATAGATCAAATGGCTGACACATGTCTATAGAATATTCCATCCTGCCACACCACAATTTACATTCTTCTCAGGAGTCCATGCAGCTTCCTCCAAAATAAATCATATTTTAAGTCACAAAGTGAGTTTTAACAAATATAAGAAAACTGAAATAACCCCGCCTGCTGTCTTACTACAATGGAATAAAACTAGAACTCAACAACAAAAGAAACAGCAGAAAACACTGATACCTCTGGAGACCAGACGACATGTTGCTCCATGTTCAGTGGGTCATGGAAGAAATAAGGGAGTGAATCAAAAAGTTCCTGGAATTTAATGAAACTGAAAGTGCACATGAGACACAGCAAAGTCCGTGCTAAGGGGAATGTTTATAGCCATGAGTGCATATATTAAGAACACAAAAAGATCTTAAGTAAATGACCTAATGCTGCATCTCAAAGTCCTACAAAAACGAGATCAAGCTAAGCCCAAAACTAGTAGAAGGAGAGAAATAATAAAAATAAGGGCTGAAATAGAGATTAAAAAAAAAAGACATACAAAGAATCAATGAAACAAAAAGCTGGTTCTTTGAGAAGATTAAATAAGTTAATAAACCCCTACCAAATCTGACTGAGATGAGGAGGGAAAAGACCCAAGTTAATAAAATTAGAAATGAAAAAGTGGAGATCACAAGCAACAAGGAAATCAGGTAATTATTTGGGATTACTTTGAAAACCTATATATATATATATATTTTTTTTTTAAGCCTGATTACAAATACTTTTTATTCCACACTGGGATACAAATAAAAATAAGAATAATAACTTTTAACAATAAATTTATAACTTAGACTTTTTGAATTGGGAGAGACCTTTTG